CGTCTTGGACACGGCTATATACGCCAAGAATCCTGATGGGGAACTGTGTCACGTGCACAGAGTCAAAGACATCATCATCCCTGATGGCAAGTTCACCTACCCGGTGAAAGAAGGTACTCTACGACATCATAACCCTGAGGCGCACGACGAGGTCAAGGCATCTACCTCTCGCCCCTTGGGCGACAAACCAGTGCCCGATCCTCCACTTTCCTACCCCAAAGAATGGGATGACCCGTCTATGATGACAACGGAAGACAACGCTGCTGATATCCACGCATCGGCCTCTGAGGTTGCTGCGCCGGCGCCGGAGCCCGACTACTGGGAACAGCGCGGATATTGCGTCATCAGACATATTCGTACTCCACGCAAGAAATTTTCATCCCGACGGACGACGTCATGAACATACCTGTACCTGTTGATCAACTCGACGTGACACGAGATTTCAAGACGACTTCTACTTTTGAAGGAGAAAGTGACTTTCGCGATGTTTGGGATGGTGTCAGCGCCAACGACCACAGGGAGTTAAGCGAGCCATGGACAGGCACGGTTCGATTCTATGAGCTTCCAAAAATCACGCCAGATGGCAAAATGGTGGTCCGCGGCCGCGAGACACGTATACAGACTACTACACGTCCTGATCGCATTCTTCCCGAGCATTGGAAAACCCTATCTCGTGGACAACAGAAGAAGGAAATCGACTACGCCGAAGACGTTAAACGAACTCGCGAGATTCGTGACCGAGCTGCACTTCGAGTGTGGACAAGACAGGACAAACAGGTCAACAATTTCCGTACCACTGCAGCCGGCGGACCAACATGGAATATTGTGGAACGAAGGATTACATACGACACTGACAACGGCGCAGTCATCCGTGACGAGAACGTCAAAGGCGTGACGAACAAAGAAATACTGTATACCAAACTACCTGGTGGGCCACGTGACATTACTACGGTACTGTACTACCGCCAAACACCACAACAGCACGCTGGAGAAGAACGTGCTTTGGTACTTGTGGATGGTGAAGGAACCGACTTTGGGACCATGAACCCGCTCATACGCCAGTTCACCCAGTCGGTAGCAATACCCACTATGCCACGTGAGACGATCTACACACCGGCACACAGAGACAAAATCCCCGATTCCTCATGGGCACGCCCGGCCCTAGTTACCAGAAACCTGAGTAAGAAAGAAGTTGCCGCATAACCACGTGCACAGGAAGCCCTACGAAAAGAATGCGAGAGATGGGAAAATAATCAAACGTGGATGTTGGAGACTGTTGCAGAAAATGCTGATATTGAGTCACAAGCTATTCGCACTGGGACGAAAGTTTATTTTTCCAATATCTTGGAACTATCTTCAGTCAAACACGAAGATCTTCCACCTGATCTGCGTAAATTCAAGGGCAGAGTGGTGGTTCAGGGCAATACAGGCAAATATGAAATTGGTTTGGCCGCCGTATTCGCCGACGCCGCTTCCAGTGCTTCGCATATTGAGGCTTCCAAACTTTGCGATGCTACTGCATTGTTGCCACAATATGCGGGCGAACAAAGTGATGCACCTGGGGCCTACGCGCAAGCATTACTATACGGCGACGGACGAATCGATCCAGTTGATACTTGGATTACCATACCTAAATGGCGACAACCGACATCCTGGTCAAAATGCAAGAATCCAGTGTGCCGATTACGATCGGCACTATACGGACACCCTCTTGCAGGGGTCTTTTGGGAACGCAAGTGTCGCACATGCTTAGAGAGCGTTGGTTTCGAGCCTATTCCAGGATGGGAGTGTGTATGGCGACACAACAAACTGGGACTGATACTTCCAGTATATGTGGACGACTTCAAATTAGCCGGACCAGCTCACAATCTACAAGCTGGCTGGGATTATATCCGCAAAAGCGGTATTGACTTGGATCCACCTACGCCATACTCGCAATATCTTGGCTGTGGACAACAGGCATACGATGTACCACAGAACATCTTCGACAAAATAATGTCTACCATACGACCCATGTTGCCCGTACACAATGAGAAAGATCACAATACAGCCAAACAAGTTCGTGGAATTCGACATGATATGCTTGGTTTTACCGATCAGTGCATTGAGCGGTACCTGGAATGCGCTTCCAAGCGCGCCCAGGGACCGGGGTCACGTCGGAAACGATCCGACTCGCCGAGGACTTCGCGATCCAAATCGCCTGCATCCTCCGGGTCGGTCGCCAGACCTACTAGTGTGCTCAACGCACGGCCACGATCATCCAGCCCAGCAAGACCGGTCGATACGACATCTACTACAACAGATCCCATACCAGTCACATGCGATGACCTACCTGACGCCGAAACCCCTGGCATCGAGGACACCTCCTTCACCGATTCCGATTACTCCGACGAGGGCATCCTTAGCCAGGCCGCGGCGAGCGTACTGATGAAGATTCTCTACCTGGCACGGTGCTGTCGTTTCGATTTAGCATACATCCAGTATGTATGCTAGCCAGAGAAATTACCAGATGGAATACCACGTGTGATAAACGTCTACAACGATTGATATGCTACATCAAAACGACGCGTGCACATTGTTTCCACGGATGGATAGGTGATTCGTCAGACAAGTTATCCATCATGCTCTTCACTGACGCCTCGTTCGCCGATTGCATTACATCATCCAAATCCACTACCGGCGTCTTCGCCGCGCTTGTTGGACCCAATACGTTCTTTCTTGTCAACGCTGTGTGTAAGAAACAAACGGTTGTGTCGCATTCATCTACAGAATCCGAGATCGTTGCTCTTGACTCAGCACTACGACTGGAAGGACTACCACTGCTCTCATTCTGGGAAGCCGTGGTGGGAGTTGCCAACACATGCAAAGTGAAGAATACTTGCCTGAGCTGCCAGGGGCGCGCCGACACGGCGATGTGTCCGACGTTGGCCGCCAAAAAGAAGCGTGAGCCATCGCCTCGCAAGGCGCCCCCCACAAGGGGATCTTCTTCTAGCCGTAGGCAACTACCGCTAAATACGGAGTTACCTACGCCTCCAAAGAGGCGTACAATATCCCATGAGGGTGCCGTATTGCACGTGGATCCAGAACCAGCTCAGGAGATTAGTGCTCCCAAAGTGCGCCTTATCGTCCTCGAGGATAACCAGGCCGTGATCAAAATTGTCTAAAAGGGACGTACACCAGCACTTCGCCATCTTCATCGTGCTCATCGTATCAACCTGGATTGGATATGCGAGACGTGCCAACTCGAACATATCGAGATCAAATATGTAGGTACAAAAGAGCAGATCGCAGATATGGTGACCAAACATTTCGAGCCGAAGAAAGCAGACCTATGGAGGGACCTCTTGGAACACTCGCTCACCTTTCCCGCTACTCCGGTACAATGTCCTCCAAAGAAACCGTGGAAACCACTTGCGAGGGCCTCGGAGGCCCGACGGTTTACCTCATGTTGCAGAACCTCCAAAACTGGATGGATGCCCGGAAGTATGCAAAATATTACTTACAGAAAAAGAGAGATGGGGCGAGGTAGGATCAGAATGTGGAATGCAGTGCGTTGGGCAAGCTAATCACGAGGGCATATGCGCATGTATGTGCCACATTGGTGTGCCCGCTGCAGCTACTGGTTCGCGCGCACCTCGTTCAAGAGCACGTTCCCCGCGCGGTGGACATCCCCGCCATCCTCCCTCGCCTCCACAGGATACAGAGAGGTCTAGGACACTCATTGTACGTCTATGCTGCAGCAATTTTACGACTCGAGCTGCACAGCTTACAGGCATCCTGTTCGCTGCGTGCGAAGCGAAAATAAGTGAGATCGGTTCTAATCCCGATACCCCCATCCACGAGATGGATCAGGCACAACCGCTCCACCTCATCGGCTGGCCCATCGGCTGCGACGCTGAGTACGGCCCGAGCGCCAAGGACGACGACCGCGTGGGCTTCACGTACCACGCTCAAACTGGTCGCCCTCGTGATCCTGATGATGGATACATATACGTACATCAGCGGCGCGCTGATCGCAGTGCAGATTTTGATCTCCGCGTACCCGACGAATCCACTATTCGAGAAATTGCCCGCTCTGCGTCCGCCGACGTCAAGAGTTGGATCAGCGATACTGGTGGATCAGTCGGCGGCAACGCCAACTACGAGTACAGCACATTTACGGCTACACCATGGCTGTCTTTCATGAGGGCTATGTGCATGCTTTCCAGTATGCCCTCATATATACTCCTTATCCTCACCTCTCCTGCGCCTGGCCGTTTGGGCTCAGGTATTGGGACGGATCGATCATACCTTTGATCGTGCAGGAGGGAAAGACATCCATCTATCCTTCCTTCCCTCTACCAGCGGATCAGGGGTTCTGTACCCTTGTACTTCAACCCCATACACACCTTACACCCCCCTGCCTCTCAGGGCTGCATGAGCCTTGGGGTGCTCCACAACGTGCTGACGACACGGTGGCGGATCTTGGCTACGCATACCATCGCGCCCCTCCACTTGGGACCAAGCGTCTCGCTCCATATGGTGAACTTGCATGATCACGCCGTGGAAGCCTCGCAAACCTCTCCAGTCATAGAAAGATCGCCTTCGAATCGAACCTGATACTGCGTCCACACAGCCATGCTGCTATTCGCCATTCCCCCCTTATGGTCACTCGCCAGCGTGTCGCAGCAATCGCGCACTTCCCCGAAACTACCACAGGTTGGCGCCATCTCCATTTCCATTGTCCCGCATCCGTGATTGTATGATCCTTGGCACGCGATATATATATATATATTATATATATATATATATATATAATATATATATATATGTATTATATATATATATATATATATTATGTATGTGTGTGTATATATATGTTTATCAGTAGGGGTTGGAAGAGGAGCCTCTGGACCACCTGCGCCCAGAAGGCTGGTGGGTCTTCTCAGAAGGCCGGGGTACTTCCGAGCCTTCTGAGAAGGCCCGCCTTTTCTCACTTCCCCCCCGTGCTCGCCGCCGAGTATGGCTGCGGCATCTACGCCGCGACGAATATGACCTTCGGCCATAACTTCGGCTGCGGCCACAAGTGCGCTTTCCTGTGCCTTGCCGTGCCGGGCGCTGCCCAGGTGTGCACCGGTGGCTCTGGCAAGCTCAGGGGGAACTACGACTCGCTGAGCAACGGGGCCCTGCGGCTGTACCGGTCCTCCGATCAGATGTTGCCGCTCTTCTTCACGGACGTCGCGACCGCGCCCCGCCTCGAGGAGTGCGCGAGGAACATCATCGCCTTTTTGGCCCAAAGGGGCCTCGGCAGTGTCGATGCCAGCGTTCCGCCGTTCAGGGCCAAGGAAACCGTGGATGCCCTGTGGCAGGACGCGTGGTGGAAGGCGAGAGTGCGCAAGCGACACCCCGATGGCACCTACGACATCGAGTGGTTGCCACCTTATCAGGCGTACCCCGCGGAATGCAGAGTTGCCGCAAGGCTTTTGCGCAGGCCATCCGGTTGACAGCAGACGCCCCAGTGTGCTAGCCGTCTCAGTCGTGGTGCGCCCACGCAATTCCAACTTTGCCCCTTCCTCTTCTCCTCTCGTAGGATGCAACTCCTGGGTGGTTCGATTTTCAATCGGCGCTGGTTTATTATCCCTGGTCGAAAGCTGACCTAATCTGGCAGAGTCCCACTAAATCTAATTTAGTCCTGCTAAATCTGGCTTAATCCCACTTGATCTGGCATAACCCAGCTTAATCCCGGACTTCATCCAGCCATATCCGCTTCAATGGCCCTGTAATCGGCTTGTAGCCCTTGATCGTTCTGACAAAGAGCCTTCATGAGTTGCCTGCTATTCTCTGCCTCCCTCCTCGAGACGGCATGTGATGACCCAGGCGTCCGTAGGGGCGCGGAGATGATCGCGCCTCGCGCGTCGCGTTCTTGGCCAGAGCTGTTGCCCTTCTGCAGGTGGGGCGGCACCTGGGCCAGGGCACGGAGATACCCGCGCATCGCGCACCGTGGGGCGCGATGCGCGAAGGTAGGTGACCTGTACGAGGCGTCAGAAATGGGCTGGCTTTGGAGGGTATCGAAGGAGGTGGCGTCTCCTCCTCGGCCGCGAGGCGGCGGAAGGCTAGCGGTAGCCCGCGGAAGTAAAACGATGTTGGGTGACCCGTACGAGGCGCTCCAGAAGGGGGCTCGCCTTGGAGGACGTCGAAGGTGTTGGCGCCGCCTCCTCGGCGGAGGGCTGGGCGGAAGGCCGGCGAGAATCCGCGGGAGTAAGGAGGTGGCCGCTCCGCCGGCGGACGCCAGTGGAAGGCTGGCGGAATCCAGCGGAAGTACATATCGGTCGTTGAAAGTAGGTATTGTTGGGTTCCCATCTCCCGATTTCCTTCTAGCGCCTTCCTGCCTCAAGAATCGACATGACTTCGGGTTGTTCTTCTCTGGGAGGGCCTGAACCCAATCTAATTTATCCGCCTTCTACTTCATCATGTTTTTACCTGCTTCTTCGGACCGACGTTCAAACATCAGCCCCCCCAAGAGATGACATGATTTTTTGGTTCAGGGTTTTGGAGCCCGCCATATTACCCAATACCATCTGGTCGAATCCGAAGCGGTGCGACAATGCAGTTGGTATCCGTTTGGAACCTCGATCAGGGGAACCTCTAGGAGAGGAAGAGGATCTCTCTGGATCGGATCCTGGCTCTGGCGTGTCCCGCATGAGAATGTTTCGGGCGTGCGCACCTTCGTCTTGAAACTCTGGTCGAGCCTCAGCTGTTGTGATCAGCCCTTGTGTTCCCAGGGATAAAACATGCGGCATAATGGCGAGAGCAACGCCTGTTCACCTCGAATGTCCACCGCCTCGGAAAGGCCTCGACCCAAGGAAACGAGCAAAACCTAGGAAACGGGGGCGCGTACCTCAGAGCGGAAAGAAAGACGAATTCGGGAAACAGGGAACGCACGAGCCCAGGATGTGATCGTTTTCTCATTCATTGTTTTGCCGATCGGCGTGGGCCCCCGCCCCCCCTGGAGTAGATCTGGGGTGTTCTTGGCGCATGCTATAGGCAGGAGGGGTCTCCCCCACACGACGCACTGTTGCAAACAGCCCCGTCAAGCAGAGGTCCGGAGCCAGACCTCCCCCCCTCCTCCCCCCTTCCGCCCAGTGTCGAGACGCCGAGTAAGAAAGCGCTCACGATCTCGGGGCCCGTCGATCATGGGACGCTAGCCGTGGAAGGCAGGAGAGCTGGGCGAGGCGGAGGGGCACGAGGAGGAGGAGGAGCACGCTGCAGAGGAGCAGGAGGATGAGGGCGACAGTGAGGAGGCGGAGGGGGGAGGTGGGTGGGTCCGTGACGAGGAGGGAGAGGAGGTAGGGGGAGGGGGCCTGCCCACCGCTTGTCTGTCTGCTCGTCGTCGTCGTTGTCCCTCATCGTACCCGCCCCCGTCGTCGTCGTCGTACCAGTCGCCCGTTCGGATTCGCACTCGCACCGGGGCACTCTCAGCCAAACGTTCCGAGCGGAAAGTGCTAGGGATCTCCGCGTCGAGCGCCTCGGTGTCAGGGCCCCTTCTCTGCCTCTGGCTGGTCTTCGGGCCCGCCAGAGCAGCCTTTAGATTCTCAGGCCACGTTCTAGGAGTGTCTGGCCAGACGGCCATTTCAGAACATGGGGGGAGGAGGGACGGGGTCGGAGGGGCGGTGCGCCGTATGTCCGCGGTCACGCCGTTCGCGGGGGGCGGTCTCCAGGGTGCGCGGGGGTCTTTGTGTCCTTTTCAGCTGCTTGAGAAGGGCTGCGGCTGCGCGGAGGAAATTATGATGAGGAAGAGGGGGTGGAGGAGGAAAAGGGGGCGATGGGGGAACATATAACGAGGAGGAGCGCGAGGCGAAGGAAGACGACGTTGGGGAAGAGGAGGACGAGGAGCAAGAGCGGACGTGTCACGCGGACAGCGAGGAGAAGGAGGATGATGGGGAAGAGGAGGAGGCGCGAACGGATGAAGACAATGAGGACGCGACGTGCCGCGAGCAGGGGGAGCAGGTCGACCATGAGTTGCAGGAGGAGGTCGTCGCGGTCGTCGTTTGGGCGAGGGATCCGGGGCAGCCCGTCGGCTGCTGCCCGCGTTGCCGAGTGACGGATACAGCGGAATCTCATTTGATTCGGCCTCCGTGTGCTGCTGCGACGTAAGCAGACTGGAGAAGTATTGTGCGCCCCCAGCTTTGCCGCGCGGCGAGTGGAATAAAACAAGTGGCACGCGTGCCCTGGCTCTTGCACCAAGGAGCTGCGAGGGACAGGAGGCTTTCCCCTCCTTCCTCTAGGAGTTTCCTTCCGTGGTCGGGAGGGGGGAGGATGAACGATGAACGACGAACGAACGGCGAACGAAGGTAAAGAGGTCCGAGCTCTAGAACACAGCTGTGCAAGACAATAGTATCCAGTTGTGCTGCCCCGCGATGCCGCTGCCACGCTCGGGCGTGCGCGGGGGGCAGGGAGTGCCTTGGGGGGGAGGGGGGACTCGCCGCGGACCCTTCCTCCGCGGAGTTTCACTTTGGGCCCCTTTCTGCCTTGAGCGCCCAAAACGCAGTGATTTGGTCGCAAACGTGGAGCGCATCCTGGGATCGGTGCGGGAGGGGACCTACTCGGGATGGGGCAATAATCAAGGGGGGAGTGATCAACCTTCCGATTGAGTCTGCCCAGTCCCGCCCCCCTCCATCCTTCTTCCCCTCCTCATCCTCCTCCTCTTCCTCCAACCCACCCCTTACCCGTTCCGACGGCACGTGTCCAATCCCCCCAGCGGATCCAAGGGGGGGGGGTCGATTCTCGCCCCATCCAAAGTAGTGCTGCACGATACGGAAGTGCCCGACGCCCGCCTGCCGCTGCAAGCGCGGCGCGTGGCGGATTCTTCCAGCTCCGAGGCGTTGCCGCGTGACGGGTCGAGCTGGGTGCGATCGGTTTGCGTCTGCTGCGTTGCCGCGTGACGAGCAGAGTGGAATCGCATGTTTTCTGGAAAGCGCGTTGCCGCGCGGCACGGGGGAGCGGAATGCCATTAGTTCGCTTTCCAGGCGTGCCGCGTGACGGGTAGAGCAGAATACTATCGCTTCCGCCGCCTCGTGCTGCCGCGCAGTGATTGATGGAATAGCGCGTTGTCTGCCTCTTGTGCTGCTGCGCGACGAACGGAGTGGGATCTCATTTCTCCCGCTTTTTGCGATGCCGCGCAGCGTGCGTGTATGTATGTATGCATGCATACATGCATGCATGCATGCATGCATGTATGTATGTGTGCATGCATGTAGGTAGGTATGCATGCATGCATGCATGCGTGCGTGCGTGCAGGTATGTATGCATGCATGCATGCATGCATGCATGCATGCATGTATGTATGTATGTATGAATGTATGTATGTATACATGTATGTATGTACGTGTATGTATGTCTGTATATGTGTAGCTGTATTGATTTATGTATGTATGTATATACGTGAATATATATGCATATATGTATGCATGCATGTTTGTATGTATGTATGCATGCATGTATCTATGTACGTACATGTATGCATGTATGCATGTATGCATGTATGCATGCATGCATGTATGTATGTATGTATGTATGTATGCATGCATGTATGTATGCATGTATGTATGTACGTATGTATGCATGCATGCATGCATGTATGCATGTATGTATGCATGTATGTATGTATGTATGTATCCATGTATGTATGCATGTATATATGTGTGTATGCTGGTACGTATGTATGTATGCATGTACGTACGTACGTACGCACGCACGTACGTATGTATGCATGCATGTATGTATGTACGTACGTATGTACGTGTGTACGTATGTACGTATGTATGTATGTATGTATGTATGTATGTATGTATGTATGTATGCATGTATGTATGTATGTATGTATGTACGTACGTACGTACGTCTCTCTCTATATCTCTATATATATACATGCATGCATGCATGCACGTATGCGTGTGAACGTATGTGTGCATGCGTTCATACATGTATGCATGCATGTATATGTATGCATGTTATATGGATGCATGTATGCATGCATGATGAATTGAGAGTCTTCGAGCGGGTATTCATGTATAGTGTTGGTCCAGCACTGCTCTCCAACAGCAAACGTGCCTATGCAGCTCTTCGGGTAAACCGTGACGATGGCGGCCTAAGGGGCCAATCGCGCGGTGACCATCCAGGGAGGTCACCGATGCCCACCGCACACTGATGGCCCCTCCGCCGCCCTCGGAGGCGGGCAGCGCCGAGAGCGCCGCTGGGCGCGAGACAGGCCACGTCTCGACCTTCTACGGGTGGATCGCGCCGCGGGCGCTGGGTTTCTTCGGGCTGCTGATCGCTCTGACGGCAGGACACGCTGAGACTGGCCGCGGCAGCCTGATGCGACTGGGCCTTGGCGGGGCCCTTGTCTTGTGGGCAGGCGCCTGGCTGGCCGTACTGAAGGTGCGAAGCTGGTGGCGCGCGTCGTCAGGACAGCAGGCCGAGGCGGACGCCCTCCGAGCCCAGCTGGCGAGCCTGACGCTGGGCACGGCGGGGGCTGGCGGCGCTGCCGCAGAGGAGAGCGGCGGCGCGCCTGGGCCCCCTGCGTTTCCACCGCCCAGCGCGCCCCCGCCTGGAGCGGCTCAGCCTGCGGCCTCGGCGTTCGCCCCCCCCCCCCCCCCCCCAGCGTGGACCCCGCCATGGGCGC